AAATGAGCAGCAGCCATCAGGGAAGCCAGACTTGGGTGGGGAAAGAGGCCCAGGTCCTGCTCTGACCTCTGCAGGCATGATAAGCAGGTGCTAGGCCCCTACTATGATAGTATGGTCATCTTATCAGGGAGCCCAGGCTATCTCACCCAAGCCCAGGCTCTGTTCTAGTCCCACACCCTGATCACAGAAGCCCCCACCCATAGTTAGAGGCCACAGCCACAGAATCTCTGGCTGCCAGAGATATCTCTGTTCTCTAATTCCAGGACCCCTCATGGCTCTCAAATTCACCCTGGGACTGGGTCTCAGCACTGGGGTGGGTGGCATGAAGCTTGGCCCTTATGTACGAAGTCGCACTCTGTAAAAAGCTTGGCTGTCTGTGTGTCCTAGAGTAGAGGTGGCCTTGAGAGGGTTATAAGAAAGGAAAGGGGGTCACAGGGAGGCAGGAGCTGGCATGGCTGGAGCACCAGTGGTGACATTTTCTCACCTATGTATTTCTCAGTTGATTCTCACAGCATGGTGGAACATCTAGCAGCCTTGAAGCTAGAGAAGAGCAACTTGCCGCCAGCCACATGGCTAGCGAGACAGAGAAGAGGAAGGCAGACTGCAGCACCCCAGTGTGCTGGTCCTCACAGTCACCACAGAGGAGAGCATCGACAGCTCCCTCCTTACGGCTGAGGAAATGGAGGCTGAATTTGATCCTAAGTCCTGGAGCAGCATGCAATGAGCTGTGACTGTCACTCAGGGCCTGTCACTGCTAAAGCTGAGCAGTCTCAGTTTCAAAGTGTTTTCAAGAATATTCCATTTTTGGAGCCAAGGATGGAGGCAGATGCCTACCGATAATTCAGCAAGTGAGAGCAGGATCAAGTTACACAGGGAATTCCAGGGCAGACTTAAGATACATAGAAGCCGGGCATTGGTGGTGCACGCCTTTAATCCCAGCACTCAGGAGGCAGAGGCAGGCAGATCTCTGTGAGTTCGAGACCAGCCTGGACTACCAAGCGAGTTCCAGGACAGCCTCCAAAGCCACAGAGAAACCCTGTCTCGAAAAACCAAAAAAAAAAAAAAAAAAAAAAAAAAGATACACAGAAAGGAAGGATGAAAAGGAAAGAAGGGGGAGGGAGGGAAGAACTTCAGATGCCTTCCCTGTGATCTTTGCGAGTCCTCTGTGGGAAGGAGCAGAGGAGACTTGTGTGTTACTTATTTGAACTCCTGTGGCTAGCATCTGTGCTGTGTAAAAGTACTTCATCAAAGTGGGCCTGAAGCAAAGGCCTGTAATTCCATTTACTTGGGAGGCTGAAACAGGAGAATTGAAAAATCAAGACCTGCCTGAACTATACAGTGAGCTTAAATGACAGTCTGGGCAACTCAAAATAGAAAGTAAGAAGAGGGGTAGAGGATTAGAGACAGTGCTTGCCTTGCAAACATAAGGTTATGGGGTCCATTTCTTGGCACCGAATAAACCTAGCATAATGAATGCCTGTTGCCCTTGCACTCAGTAATTACAGACAGGAGGCTCAGAAGTTCAATGTCACAAATGGAATTTCAGGCCACATGAGACTCTGTTTCAATATCAATAAGAGCAAGGCAGAGCTGGCAGACCTCTCAGCTCCAGGGCAGCCTGGTCTATATAGAGAGTTCCAGGTCAGTCAGGACAACATAATGAGACCCTGTCTCAAAATACAAAGGTGAGATGGGTGTAACGGTGCAAGTCTTTAATCCCAGCCAGCACTTGGGAGACAGAGGCAGGTGGATTTCTGTGAGTTCCAGGACAGCCAGGGCTGTTACACAGAGAAACCCTGTCTGGAAAAACAAAGCAAACAAAGAAACCCCCAAAACAACAACAAAACCAGGAGACAGGTATTACACGCCTTTAATTCCAGCAGGTAGATCTCTGTGAGTTTATGGCCAGCCTGGTTTATACAGTTCCAGGACAGCCAGGACTACACAGTAAGACTCTGTTTCAAAACAACAAAAGAACAATAACAACAAAAGCATTGTCCTGGCACTGGGGAGGTAGAGGCAGGCAGATCACTGTGAGTTCGAGACCAGCCTGGTCTACCGAGCGAGTTCCAGGACAGCCTCCAAAGCCACAGAGAAACCCTGTCTCGAAAAACCAAAAAAAAAAAAAAAAAAAAAAAAAAAGCATTGTCATCTACTCCTACATAACACTGTGTCTAAAAAATTAAATTAAGCCGGTGGTAGTGCCTCCAAAGCTCCAGAAAAACCCTGTCTCAAAAACAATTAATTAATTAATTAAAAATGAATAGACAGCTGGCCACTGGTGATGTATACCTTTAATCCCAGCACTCAGGAGACAGAGGCAGACATATCTCTGAGTTCAAAGTCAGCCTGGGTCTACAAAGCAAGTTCCAGAACAGCTTGAGCTGTTACACAAAGAATCTGTGTCTTGAAAAACCAAAAAAAAAAAAAAAAAAAAAAAAAAAAAAAGACAGAGGAGTCCCTGTGCGTAACACTTACAGACCTGAAGAGAAACTAGTGCTGACCAGATGAGGGAAGCACACAGCAGAGGTAGGGCACATGCCTGTTCCTAGGCAGGAATCAGAGCACCTCCAAAGCCCAAATGGTTAGGGCTCTCCTCCCACCCCACCCCCACCCCATCCGAATATAGTCTGCACCTGCAAAGGAGGCTCCAGACCAGACTGTCGAGGATAAGAAAAGGGGGCGGAACATCCCCCAGAATGAGGGTCTAAATAGCAGAGGCTCAGCTGTTGGGAGTGTCTCACCAGAAGTCTCCCCTTCCCCATAGGGAGAGACTCAATGTTGCCAGGCTCCTCACTGAGTCTTGGGCTCTGGAGAATTGACTTGTAGCCTTTACCCTGGTTCCCACAAGAGCCAGGCCTCGGGTGCTCTTCAGTCTTCCAGCAGAGTGACACTCACCCAGGGGACCTTGCCAGATTAGTGGCTGACAAGTTTTGACTCTGCTCATCTAGTTCTAGCTTGTTGGGCTCAGCAAAAAATAGTCAACTTCTAGGAATGGAAATTTAGGCTGAAGGGTCCACTGAGGTTTGCTCCCAGATAGATTCTATAGCTCCAGCAGCCAGGACCCTTCTTGTCCTACACAAATTCAACGAACATTCCCAACAATCACCCGGAAAACAGCAGGGCTTCAACAGACACCTAAGCCCTGAAGGATGCATAGCGTGAGGGTTTTTCAATTTCCTGAGTGGGTAGGTAATCAGCTTCATGGGGTGGGGTGAAAGTCACCCATTTAAAAGAATGGAGGCAGCTGGGCAGTGATGGCACACACATGGAATCCCAGCATTTAGAAGGCAGAGGCAGGCCGGGCGGTGGTGGCGCACGCCTTTAATCCCAGCACTCGGGAGGCAGAGGCAGGCGGATCTCTGTGAGTTCCAGACCAGCCTGGTCTACAAGAGCTAGTTCCAGGACAGCCTCCAGCCTCCAAAGCCACAGAGAAACCCTGTCTCAAAAAACCAAAAAAAAAAAAAAAAAAAAAAAAGAAGGCAGAGGCAGGTGAATCTCTGTGAGTAGTTTGAGGCCAGCCTCGTCTACAAAGTGAGTTCCACGACAGCCAGAACTGTTGCACAGAGAAACCCTGTCTTGAAAAACAACCAAAAAATAATAAAAATAAATACATAAATAAAAGAATGGAGGCAGGATGGATGTGTAGTTCCAGTAAGTTAGCATGCATTAGACCCTAAGTTTCATTCAGCACCAGCACAAAAAATAAGACAGATAACAAACAAACCCAACAAATTAAACAAAAGGGAAAGGAACCAGTGACTTGTTTCATGAAGCCAGCAGGGGAAGAGTTAAGAAGTAGGGACTTCTAGAGCCCGGGAAAAGTACTCCACCCAGGGGAGGAGCCAGAGGGTTAAAAGCCAAGCCTCTTGAGCAAGAAGGAAGAGAGCAGGCAGGCTGTCCCTGTCCAAAGGCTTCCAGACTGCAGCTCCAGCTCCAGGTAAGCACTCCTTGGAGTGGCTGTCAGCCTCCTTATAGGTCTGCCCAGAGGGAGCCTTCTGCCTCATTGTTTGTTTCTGGCTGTGACTCTGCATCCCAAAGAGATCTGAATAGACCTTAGCTTCTTCCTCTAAGCCACCTGGGTTTTCCTGAACCACAGAATCAAGGAGATGATGCTCTGGGAGGGAGTGGAAGAGCAAGGAGGTATGTGTGTGTCCAGCCTTGACCAATCCTGCCCCAATGCCCTGGCTCTCCATATCTACAGCTCTCTCGTCCAGGGCCTTGGCTGGGATATCATCATATACTGTAAGTTTGTGATGAGACACTACAGTATAGATGATGTACTAGTCTGGGTACCCCCAGCTCTAGAGCCTGCCTGGAGGGCAGGAGAATGTTGAAGCCCATGGGGCTCACTGCTCAGCCTATCAAGCCTACTGACTGCTGTGGCACTTGGGGATGGCGAGGAAACCGTTACCATTACTGAGTTTAGTAATGGTAACGGTTCTCTTGCTGCTCCCAGAGACTGTGCCAAGAAGAGCTCATGACCCTGGAGCAGACTCCTGGAAGAAAAAGAGACCCCAGGCTGACAAGAGAATGGGGGCAGGGGAATGGGTGCATTTTTCTCTTCCCTATTCCAAAGAAATAAAGATAAGAATAAGAACACTTGTCATTTAATTTTATTAGCATCCAAGGTTGGGTAGCAGGAAGGGGTGAGAGGGATCAAGGACTTGGGTGAACAGGAGGTCGGCACTATCTCCTTTAAGAAACACAGGTTTAGCCGGGCGTTGGTGGCGCACGCCTTTAATCCCAGCACTCGGGAGGCAGAGGCAGGCGGATCTCTGTGAGTTCGAGTCCAGCCTGGTCTACAGAGCGAGTTCCAGGACAGCCTCCAAAGCCGCAGAGAAACCCTGTCTCAAAAAACCAAAAAAAAAAAAAAAAAAAGAAACACAGGTTTAGCCAGGAGGTAGTGGTGCATGCCTTTAATCCCAGCACTCGGGACACAGAAGCAGGCCAGCCTGGTCTACAGAGTGAGTTCCAGGACAGCCAAGGTTACACAGAGAAACCCTGTTTCAGAGAAAAAGAAAAAAAGAAAAGAAACACAGGTTGTCCCAGGTATTGGTGATGCATGCCTTTAACCCAGCACTAGGGAGGCAGACAGATGGATCTCTGTAAGTTCAAAGCTAGCTTGGTCTGCCTAGCACGCAATAGCCAGAGTTGTATGGTGAGAACCTTGCCTCAAAAGAGAGAGAGGGAGGGAGGGAGGGAAGGAGGGAGGGAGGAAGAAAAGACAGGCCTTTACATAAGTTCAAGGTGAGGAACTTGGGGTCACAGAGAAAAACTTTCTTCCTGCCAGCAGCTGGGAACTCAGGGCAAGAGTGGGTGCAGTGCTAGCGGGGGTAGGATGAGCCTACTCACACCAGGGACACAGCCGTCTAAGACCTGGATAGCTGAGACCCTACCTGAAAACTGAACTAAGGCAGCTTCTTTCCTCCAGTGGAAAACATGGCGGGCGGGGCAGGCACTGTGCAGACTCAACGAGGCCAGGCTGGCTAGCAGCCAGCCAGTGTCCATGGCCCTTACCAGCCCTACAGGCCCCTTTGACAGGGGTAGTCCCAGTCCCAGTCAGTCACTGCTGCAGCTGAGCAGGGATGCTCTAGGGGTAGCATCAGAAGATGGTCATTTGAGAAGTTTCACAGAAAGGCGGATGCGAACGTCACAGAGGAAGATGTCCATGAGGTCTCGGCCCACCTCCTGTGCAATCTGGGAGATCAAAAGGCCCTTCTGACCAATCAGGATCCGCTGCAAAGTGTGAAAAATGGCACATGGCTCTGCTCCCTGACCTCACAGACGGGGAAAGAGCCTGAGTTAATGCCGCGGCTGCCCTTCTCTGAGCCTGCCCCCACTCACCATATGAGATTCTTTGGGCACCAGAAGGTTCTGTTGGATCACTAGCTCCCCACTTGGTCCTTCTTCCCATATCACCGTCTTCTGTATAAGGAGACATCATGACTGGTCAGGAAGGCTCATGTCTATACCTTGTGGTGCCCAACTATTCCAGGTGTGTGCCTGGTGTATGGATAGGCCCTCGTCTTTCACCCTGTCCACACCTGCTGCACATTGTAGGGCACCTCCTCAGGCAGGTACTCTAGGAGCTTCTCTCGGATTTTATTGGCACAGATCTCTTCAGGTGTCTGGCTAGTGAGGACTCCACTGTGGAACTCCCAGGGTCCTGGCTGGGCCTGTGCCAGGAGGTATTGCTATGGGTAAAAAGGAAAACTGAGATCTTAACCCCATCAGTAGTCCCCTACTTATGTTGTTATGCACACTTTTTGTTATATATCCCCCAAGCTGACCTTAAAATTGCTACATAGTAGCAAAGGCTGTTAAATTCTTGATCCCACTTTAGCCTAACAAGCCCTGGTACTATACAAGTGACGACCATAACTGACTGTAATGCCCTTTTTTTTGGTTTTTCGAGACAGGGTTTCTCTGTAGTTTTGGAGGCTGTCCTGGAACTAGCTCTGCAGACCAGGCTGGCCTTGAACTCACAGAGATCCGCCAGCCTCTGCCACCTCAGTGCTGGGATTAAAGGCGTGCGCCACTACCACCCTGCAGTAATGCCCTTAAAAAAAAAAAAAAAAAAAACAGGGTTTCATGCAGATCAAGGTGGTCTTTTTACACCCTAATTTGTTCAGGCTGGTCTTGAACTTCCAACCTTCCTATCTCTGCCTTCTACATGCTAGAATTAAACAGGTGTACCACCATGTCCAGTTTATGTGGTGCTAGGGATTGAATCCAACACCTCTCACACATCAGGCAACCATTCTACCAACTGAGATATATTTTTGGTCTCCTTATGCAGCCTGGCTGGCCTACGACTCATAACGGAGACCGGGTTAGCCTCAAACTGAGTAATCCTTCTGCCTCTGCCTCCTGAGTGCTGGGATAACAGGTGTGAACCACCACAACTAGCTGGTTTTGGTTTCCTGAGACAGGATTTCATTGTAATTGAAGTTCCTCTTGAATTCACTGTGTACCTGAAAATGACCTTCAACTCCTGATCTTCCTGCCTTGGCCTCCCAAGTGCTGAGATTTCAAGTATAAATTACCAGATCCAGATTTTTGTTTTGTCTTCTACAGTCAGGCTGCTCTGAGTGAGGCCTATCTTTTTTTTTTTTTTTTTTTTTGGTTTTTCGAGACAGGGTTTCTCTGTGGCTTTGGAGGCTGTCCTGGAACTCGGTCTGTAGACCAGGCTGGACTCGAACTCACAGAGATCCGCCTGCCTCTGCCTCCCGAGTGCTGGGATTAAAGGCGTGCACCACCAACGCCCGGCTGAGTGAGGCCTATCTTAACATATGGTAATGGTGAGTTGTGGGCAAGGCCAACTGACCTTTAGTGTATTCACGTCCTTGTTGTTTAGCGCTGACAACATGAAGATCTCCTGGAAGTTGGGCCAGCCAATTCTCTGAGGGTTTCTCACTGAGTATGTATTTGGGTCCTTCGCTGCAGGATTGGGGCAGTGGGTGCCAAGGCGTGAGTGTGAGTGCAAGGCCTGCTTGATACTGAGCTTCTTGCCGTTGACCACACCTTCAGTGAGGGCGGCTGTCAGCTCCAGCAGAACTGACTTCTGCTTGAGGCAGTCTACCTGGATGGACACGGGTAGCACACGGCATAGCACATGGTCAGACAGATGGGACCTTGCAGGAAGAGTCTTCCTCAGGTGGGCAGTGCTCACCTTGTTTAGGACGAGGATGCTAGGGACCTGGGAGAAGCGGGTCAGGCACTGCAGCACCTGGGGGCTTAGCTGGCTCCTGGTCCACTTGTCCGACACATCCACAAGAACTACAACTAGAAAATACAGGGCAGACAAGAAAAAAAAAAGACTGTGACCTTCCTCTGAATCCACAACAAGTTCCAGGTTATGGGTTCTGCCAGACCCCAATCCCAAACTCCCAGAAATGAAGGCTCTGTAAATAGGGCAAATAGGGCTTCAGATATTTAGTTTGAGCCTAACCAAGATCAGCAGATTCCATGCTCTTCCACGGGTCTTCCACCAAAGACAGCTCCAGATGGTGCCTAAAGGTTAAGTGAACCAGTCAGGAAGGGTACTATCTGATCTGATCTTACGAGGAAGAATGGCCCCTCCTCTTCTTTATCACCACCCCCACCCCACAATCTGTTCCCACAGCTAATACCTCTTCTGTTTAACGGGACTGATGATGCCAGGTGTGTCAAGCAGAATCTAAAATCAGGAGAGATACCCATGCCCCCCCCCAAAGGAAAAGATTTTTTTAATGGATTAGTGGGGAGAAAGACCATACGAACCCCAATTTAGGTTCTAGGATTCAACTCAGGGCTTTATACATGATATACATAAAGACATGGTTTCTCTGTGCAACAGCGCTAGCTGTCCTGGAACTCACATTGTACCAGGCTAGCTTCGAACTCACTGAGATCTGCCTGCCTTTGCCTCCCCAGTGCTGGGAATAAAGGTGTGCACCACCACCTCATTGCATCTGCAGAATGACAAGAGCCTTTTTATTTATTTTTATTTTGTCAGGGTCTCACTGTGTAGTCCTGACTGTCCTGGAATTCACTATGTGGAATAGGCTGGTCTTCAACTCAAAGAGATCCACCTGCCTCTGCCTCCTAGTACTGGGATTAAAGATGTGCACCACCCCACATAGCTAGAGAAAGGCCATCTTTCATAATAGCATCTTGCCTTTCCTTCCTGGGCAAGCTATTGCTGACTTTGGATGTTTTAGCCTTCAGCACTGTCTTACTGTTACATGAGATACTCCAAAAAGAGGACGACTAAGAATAAATGATGTGGATGGTGATGTGTTGATGGAGCTGTGGCTCATCGGCAGAACTCGTGGGTAGTACCCAAGAGGTCCTGGGTTGGATCCCCAGCCCTGCACAAAACAAAAACACAAAACCACAGAGTTCAATGTTGAATTGTGCTTTGTTCAGTCAGGCGAGGTGTCACACTCCTATAATCCCAGCATTTAGGAGGCAGACACAAGAGGTTCATTTCAAGTTTAAGGGTAGACTGGCCTACAAATTGAGTCCAGTGCCAGTCAGGGATACGTGGTAAGACCTTGTATCCTAAATGGAAAAACAGGAAGATTCAATGATGGGCATGGTGGTACCTCTTGTATCCCAGCACTTGAGAGCTGGAGTAGGCAGGAACATCATAAATTCAAGGTAATCTCTAGCTATATAGAAAGGCCAACCTGTTACACAAGACTGTTACAAACACAAAGGATGGGATGACTTGGTGGGTAACCAAGCTTGAAAGCCAAGCTTGACAACCTAATTTTGGTGCCAAGGACTCACAGGGTGGAAAAAGAAAAGTGACTCCTAAAAGTTGTTCTCTGACCTCCATATAAGCACCATGTACATGAGTACCCACACATAAAAATAACTTCAGAAGAGACAGCAAAAGAGGGAGACGAAGAACTATATGGAGCCTTAAGAAAGAGGTGGTGGGGCCGGTCGGTGGTGGTGCAGGCCTTTGATCCCAGCACTCAGGAGGCAGAGGCAGACGGATCTCTGTGAGTTCGAGGCCGGGATAGATAGCCTCCAAAACAATACAGAGAAACCCTGTCTCGTAAAACAAAAAAAAAAAAACAAAAAACAAAAAAAAAAAGAAAGAGGTGGTAGTTGTACATGCCTTTAGTCCCAGCACTTGAGAGGCAGAGGCAGGTAGATTTCTGTGAGTTCAAGGCCAGCCTGATTTACAGAGTGAGTTCCCTACAGAGTGGCTAGGGATACTACACAGAGAAACCCTGTCCGAAAAGAAGGACAAGAACAAAAAAAAGGGGGGGGATCCTTTATGCATTCTTTTTTGTTTTCTTTTCTTTGTTGTTTTTTGAGACAGAGTTTCTCTCTCTAGCCTTGGCTTTCCTGGAACTCCCTTGTAGACTAGGTTGACCAGATCCACAGGACTCTGCCTCTGAAGTGCTAGGATTAAAGGCGTACACCACTACCATAGCACTGAATAATCATTTTTTTAAAGGCTAATGGCAAGAGAATTCTTAGCTTCACACTCTATCCAGTTTGCAGAACTTCTGCAGGTACCTACCACCTGGGCCTCCTTCTCTGTGATGACCCCTAGAGCTTGGCATCGAGTGGTATGCACCTTCTTGGAGACAGGAAACACCTTCCAGGAAGAAAGAGGTCTCAATGAGATCCTAGATCCCTCCCAGGCCATCCACCCAGGCAGAGCAAGAAGTGAATAAAAAACCAAAAAGATAAAGTGGGGTGTAGGGGGACTGGAGAGATGGTTCAGTGGTTAACACAACTGAATGTTCTTCCAGAGGACCTGGGTTCAATTCCCAGCACCCACGTGGTAGCTCCCAACTGTTTGTGATGCTGGTTTCAGAGGATCCAATATCCCTTTCTGGCATCTGTGGGTACCAGGCACACACGTGGTACACAGACATATATGCAGGCAAAACACCCATGTACATAAAACAGTGAAATGTGTAAAAAGGGAGGTGCAGGGCTTGGGATGATAAAAGTATGACATACTTTTCGGCCCAGCAGCTGATTGGAGAGTGTTGACTTTCCTGCATTTGGGGCTCCCAGGAGGACCACTCGGAGGACCCGTGAATTCTCAGGCATGTCAGGAGTATGGACCAAGAGCAGATTCTGTTCATCTGTGTTAGGACAGGAACAACAATGATATTGGAATCTAGACTCTATTAGACACTCAGCTCTGATACCCAAGGAGGAAATCAAGATAAAAAGTTAACACACCAATCTGAAGCCACCCATTCCTAATTTTGAGACTAGTTTGGCATTTAATTTTATTTGATTTCTCAGGTTATCTAACCTGTCTACCCCTCTTGGTTTTTGCATATTTAATTTGGGATCACATTAACATTATCTATTAATAACTTCTTTTTCACAATGTCAACTGTGTAAAATAATTGTTCAACATAGGTTGGGCACTGTGATACACACACACTTGTAATCACAACCCTTGAGAGGTTTAAGCAAGAGTGGATTACTTGGGCTAGAGAGATGGCTCAGTTAAGAGCACTAGCTGCTCTTTCAGAGGTCCTGAGTTCAATTCTCAGCAACCACATGGTGGCTCACAAGTGTATCTATAGTGGGATCTGATACCCTGATACCATCTTCTGGAATAAAGGCATACATGCAGACACAGCACATCAAACAAACAAATAAACCTTATTAAAAAGAAAAAAAAAGAGTGGAGGATTACCTGAGTCCCAGGCCAGCCTGGGCTACATAACTAGACCCTGTCTCAAAAACCAAAACAACCTCACTAAATTACAAAGGAGAAACAGCACTTTATAAAAAGTATACGGCTGGGCAGTAGAGAGGGCTCACACTTTTAATCCCAGCACTTGGGAAGCACATCTGTGAGTTCGAGGCCCCTCTGTAGTTCCACGACAACCAGGGCTACACAGAGAAGCCCTGTGTCGAAACAACAAAAGACAGCGGGAGGGTGGCACATCCTCATTCTCAAATTCTTCAACACCCGTCACTACTCGTCTCTGTTTGGACTCAGACTTATTTTCTATTAAATAAGAGAGGCTAAAATGATACCCTCAGAGACATAGAGATTTTACCTAAGATACATGACTTCCACTGCTAAAACCATCAGAGGCCGGTCATGGCTAACACCTGCAATCTCAACACTGCCGAGTCTGCATAGCAGGACGATCCGAGTTCCAAGCCAGTCTGGGCTACACAGAGAGACCTGCCACCAAACAGAACAACCGCAACCAACATAACGGAGCCCTTTACCTCTGTGCACCGATACCGCGGGGACGCTTGGAGCCAACGAACTGTCAGGCTGAGGAAACCCAAGGATACGGTCCAAGGCAGAGTACTGACCATAACGACTAGAGGCGGAGGCCAGGAGGGGACCAGAGAAAGCGGCGCCCACGACACCACAGGACACGCACCTCACTTGGTTACCTAGAAACAAGCCGGGCGGAGCCTCCCACTCCCTCCCAGCACGCGGGCCCCGCTGCCAAGCCCCCAACACGGACCGAACTAGGCGAGCACAGTGCTGTCTGGGGGCAGCCATGTTGCCGCAATGCACTCTGGTACCGACTAGAAGCACGCTGCGATTGGACGGTGAGGGCCACAGACCAACGAGTAAAGAAAACTAGATCACCCAAACAGAACTGACGCACCCGGGGTGTCCTGGGAGGGGTAGGTCAAGACTATTTGCGAAGGGTGACAGAAGCTAAGGAAAGGCAAAAATGTGATGTATTTATTGTCTGCGTGAGTATAACGATCGTCTTGGACTCCCATACCGTCATTTCTCCCTCTGCCAGAGATTTGTAAAAGAGCTTTTTTTTTTAGTTCTGTCTTCTGATTGGCTACATTCCTCGAGAGGCCAAGCAGCTACAAGTGGGCATTTCACGGGATTTTTAAAAAGTTCTTTCTAACCCTAACCCTGCAGGATCCTTTCTTATTTCATATTTAGCTATGTTTTAGCTGGGTGTGGCAGTCTTTGTTAGGGTTATTGTAGCTGTGATAAAACTCTGTAACCGAAAGCTACTTGGGGAAAAGGGTATATTTATTTGGCTTACATATCTTGAAATAAATTCATTGAGGGAAGCCAAGGAAGGAACTCAAATCAGGCAGGAACTTGGAGGCAGGAGCTAATGCAGAGGCCTTGGAGGATGCTGCTTACTGGCTTCCTCATGACTTGCTCAGCCAGCTTTTTTTTCTTTTTGACTTTTTCAAAGCAGATTTTCTCTATAGCCCTGGCTGTCCTGGAACTCACTCTCTAGACCAGGCTGGCCTTGAACTCACAGAGATCACCCTGCCTCTGCCTCCTAAGTGCTTGTATTAAAGGTGTGCGACACCAGCACCCGGCACAGCCTGCTTTCTTATAGCATCTAGGAACACCACTCACAATGTGTTGGGCCCTACCACACTAAGAAAATGCTCTGCAGGCCTGTCTACAGCCCAATCTTATGGAGGCAGATTCTCAGCTGAGTTTTCCTCCTCTGAGATGACTCCAGCGTTCTTCAAGTTGACATAAAACCAGTCAGCACAGGTTGCTTTTTGAAATCTGGCCTTTTGTTAAGGAATGGTACTGTGGAAGACATTCCTGTAGAGCAGTGGATTGTATTTACCTCTTTAAATACCGGCTCCTGTCTAGTCTCTGAGGCTGTCTTTCTGGAGGAAAATTAATAATAATAATAATAACCAAGAAACCAAGGCAGGTTTCTGGATGTGGTGGGGCTCTCCTGTAACCCAGTATTTGGGAGGTGGAGACAGGAGAATAGGGATGTTCAAGGCCAGACTTGAATGGATGTTTGTCTTTAAAAGGGGGTACTGGGGAAACCTGGCATGTTAGATCTTTAATCCCAGGATTTAAGAGACAGAGGCAGGATGATCTCTGTGAGTTGGAGGTCACTTTGGTATACAAATCAAATCCTAGGAAAGCCAGTGCTACCTAGTAAGATGTAGGTCAGCCAGGGCTACATAGTCAGACTGTCTCTAAATAAATAAAACAAAGTAAAATAAAATAAATGACAGGGAGCCGGGCGGTGGTAGCACATGCCTTCGATCCCAGCACTCAGGAGGCAGAGGCAAGGGGATCTCAGAGTTCAAGTCCAGTCTGGTCTACAAAGCAAGTTCCAGGACAGGCTCCAAAGCTACAGAGAAACCCTGTCTGGAAAAAACAGAAATAAATAAATAAAATGGCAGGGGAGATGGTAAAGCTGGTGCAAATGCTGTGCGGGCTTGATCTGAACTCCAACCCTAAAACCTACCTGACGTCAGGGTGAACAGAATTGGCTCATGAAAGTTGTTCCCAGCTGGGCGTTGGTGGCGTATGCCTTTAATCCCAGCACTCGGGAGACAGAGGCAGGCGGATCTCTGTGAGTTCGAGACCAGCCTGGCCTACAAAGTGAGTTCCAGGACAGCCTCCAAAGCCACAGAGAAACCCTGTCTCGAAAAACCAACAAAAAAAAAAAAGTTCCCACATTTCATCACACACACACATTGATCAGTTGGTAGAGTCCTTGCCTAGCAGCAGGAGGGCCTGAGAAGGAAGGAGAGACGAGAGAAATGGTAAAGCTGCTTAGCCACTTAGGATCTCCCAGGATGCCATAGCAGCCAGAGGAACTTAACTTGACCTTCCTTGGGTTTGTGGCCTTGAGCTACCCTTGTCCATTCAAGCCCTTTAGTCAATTTCCACCTCCACCCTTTGCACTTTGTTCTAGTGGTTAGTCAGCCAGACTCTTGAAATTGTAAGATACATCTTTCAGAGATTGGAGAGATGAGACGGTATTAAGCATCTACTACATAGAAGCACATCAACTAATGAAATGGACAAATATTCCTATTGTGAGATTCACATGTACATAGATGTCCTGAGTCCTGTGTGTGTGTGTCTGTTTGTGTGTGAGAGAGTGTGTGTGCACGTGTGTATGTGTGAGTGTGCACGAGTGTGTGCCCGTGCGTGCGTACATGTGTGTGAGAATGCGTGCATGTGCGTGTGTGAGTGTGTGTATGTGCGTGCATGTGTGTGTGTGATAGAGAGAGAGTGTGTGTGTGTGAGAGAGTAATTTGACAGGAAGTTGAAGTGCTCTGGTGAAAGCCTAAATGAAATGAATTTAAGAGACAATGCAGTTGGAGCTGGAGTAGAGCTAGGTATGGTGACTGGTTCACACTTAAAGTTCTAGCACTTGGGAATATGAGACAGGAGGATTTCTGTGAGTAAGAGGAAATTCTGGGCTACATAGTGAGTGGAACACTATGCAAAAAAGTAGGGAAAAGCAGCCCCCTCCCTGAAAACCCACAAACCAATAGGCTGGGGATGTGGCTCAGTCAGTAGAGTGTCTACACAGCACAAAACCCTTGTTAGAGCCCAGCACCACATAACACAGGGTGTGCAGGAATTGGAGACAGGAGAACCAAACTTTCTCTCTCTTTCCCTCTCTCTCTCTTTCTTTCTTGGAAGTAGCTCTTGTAGACCAGGCTGGTCTCGAACTCACAGAAAGCCTGCCTCTGCCTCCGAGTGCTAGGATTAAAGGCGTGCGACACCACCGCCCAACAACAACCAGACTTTCAAGGTCCTGTTCAGCTACAAAAAAGTTCAAGGCCAGCCTGGGATACTTGAAACCATAACTTTATGTTGTTGTTTTCCTTATTTGTTTTTCCAAGACATGGTTTCTCTGTGTAACAGAGAATTTGTCCTGTAGACCAGGCTGGCCTTGAACTCACAGAGATCTGCCTGCCTCTGCCTCCCGAGTGCTGGGATTAAGTCATGTGCCACCATGCTCATCTTGTATTTATTTTAGTTTTTAATCCTGTGCATGTGCCACATGTGTGTAGGATTCACAGAACCAGAGGAGTCCGGTCTCCTGGAGCTAGAGTTGTGAGCTTCTTGATGTGGGTGTTGGGAATTGAACTTGGTTCTTCTGAGAGAAATACATTCTCTTGAACTCTTCTAGCCCATGCTTTTTGTTTTTTTTTCAGTGCTGGGGACTCAGATATTATACCAATATTTTCCCACTGAATTACATATCTAAACATTTCCCTTTTTCTCTCTTCAATTTTTTAATTTCTTTTTGAGATAAGGTCTTGTTATATAGTCCAGATTTACCTGGAACTCACTATGTAGCCCAGGCTAGCTTCAAATTTGCAGAGATCCTCCTGTCTCTGTCTCCCGAGTGTTGGAATTCTGGTTATATGCCACTGTTAGCCATGGCCAGATCATTTCTACAGCTCCTCCATTTTGGTTGAACTGTGACAACTCCAGTAACTCCAATAATTTGGTGTCTAGACGTAAATTAACTTGTTTTGATAGATTCTGTTAGTTTCTTGATTGCCCTGCCCACAATTACCAAGTATGGCCAGACAGGAATAATATTTATTGATGACCTAATATTCTTTTTTGTTTGTTTGTTTTTTGTTTTTGTTTTCTTGAGACAGGGTTTCTCTGTATTGTTTTGGAGCCTGTCCTGGAACTCACTCGGTAAACCAGGCTGGTCTCGAACTCACAAAGATCCGCCTGCCTCTGCCTCCCGAGTGCTGGGATTAAAGGTGTGCGCCACCAGTGCCCATCGATCTAATATTCTTTAACTGACTACTCACTGAGCCAGGCATTGTGCTACATATAGCCTTGCCTTATTACAAGGCCGGTGGATCTCTGAGTTTCAAGGGTAGCCTGGTCTACATGGGTAATTCCAAGTCAGCCAAAGCTACATGGTGAGACCTTGTCTCAAAACAAAAGAAACACCTTACTCACTGATTACTTAGCAATGGCCAACTGAGGCCATAAAGCGAGACCTCTTTCCTACATCCACCCACCCACCCTTTCTTCCTCATAACTACCTCAGTCTGTAAGCAGGGAGCAGGCTCCAGCTTTGATTTTTTTTTTTTTTTTTTTTTTTTTTTTTTGGTTTTTCGAGACAGGGTTTCTCTGTGGCTTTGGAGGCTGTCCTGGAACTAGCTCTTGTAGACCAGGCTGGCCTCGAACTCACAGAGATCCGCCTGCCTCTGCCTCCCAAGTGCTGGGATTAAAGGCGTGTGCCCCCAACGCCCGGCCCCCAGCTTTGATTCTTAAGGAATCCCCCTCTACCTATTTGTTTTTCCCCCAATAAAGGCCTGCACTGTCTTTTTTTGGGGGGGAGGTTGTGGTTAGAGACAGGGTTTCTTGTTGTAGCCCTGAATGTCCTGGAACTTACTTTGTAGACCAGGCTGCCTCAAACTCCAGAGATCCATCTTCCTCTGCCTCCTGAGTGCTGGGATTAAAGGCATTTGCTACCACTGCCCAGACAGCCTATACTGTTTTAAGTTCCTCATTCCCTTATCTATTTTTCCTTCTCACTGACCTTTCAGGCGCCACACTGGCTTATGTATTTGTGATGGTATCCTGTGGCCCAGACTGGCTTCTAATTTCATGCGTAAACAAATAGACACTTGGCTTCAATTCCTGCTGCTTTCGTTTTTACTCTGAGTGCTGGGATTAAAGGTGTGTCATTGAGCACAAAGGATTTTTGCTGTTGTTCATTTACAGTGCTTGATGGACCTGAACCTAGGGCCTCCTGGATGCTAGCCAAATGCTCTATTACTAAGCTACATTCC